TGTTTGAACGGTTGCGAGGCGCAGTGAAGTGATACGATATTTCTTTTTATTCGTAAAAATCCATCCTTTGCCTTATTGATATTGCTCATAATGTTTACAACTCTTGCAACGATATAAATATCCAGTTAACGATCGGTTCGTATGTCTAACGATCGTGGTATGCGTTCTGGTGAACCAGATACGTTGCTCAACGACGACTCTGTAAATTCCGATCGTCTCCCTATTAATTGTACCGGCATAAGCGGAACAATCTGTTAATGAGGAACAAGTTTAATCTCGACAGATACATATATAAAACAATTCTCTTTTTTATATAAAAAATAAATTGTAACATTTTCCTGACTTTTATAATTATATTTTGAAATATTTTAATAGTATGTTTTATGTATTGGGTCATCTAAAAAGTATCCGCGGTTTTTGTCACTGGTGTTGATGGTCAACACATTTAGTGACAAAAAACCACGGATACTTTTTAGATGACCCAATAAATATAAATATACATCTAATATAATAAATTACGTACCTGTAGGTTATGAAAGGAATAGTTGTATGTGTTCAAGCTTGAGATAAATCTCAAGGCAATTTCTTCAGAGGTTGTATATCTCTCAGATAAACAAAGATATTGTCTGTGAGAGATGCTGCCTACAGTTTGAAAAGTTTGTTAGGGAAAATTACGTCGACCCCGAGACTCTGAGAGAAAGGATCGTTATTTCGGTCGGTTGCTGGCATTCCATCGCGTCAGATTCTATCGACTCTTTCGCACCGCTCAAGTTCGTGGATAACAGTTTCACGGCTGACGGTCCGCGACTGCCATTACGTTTACGGTGCCGCATAGATGCCGAAGTTACGAGGCATCTCTTCTCTCGTGATGCCTCGCAAAAATCGTTAGTTGCACACCGCGCTGTCGTGAACTCTGTATCGCTCTTTAGCTCTTAGCCTGAAATTATACGTTTGCGGTCATCGACGGTGGCCTACCGGGCACGTTTACATTTATTTAGCGTCAAGTTTACATTAATGCGAGTCGTTCCTTGACACCGCATATCGGAAGTAATACACAGTGTAAGTTATTCGCGTAAAACGTCACGTTAGCGAGCAATAAAATATAATACGAGCTAATCGGTATATCATTCACGATTTCAGAAAATTTACTATTCATTCTAATCGTGCAAACTCTTTTAATTAAATATCGAACAGGAAATAATTTTTATATTTAATTTAATAAAATTAATTTTTTATTTTTCTTCATTATCTTGAAAAAAAATTGTAAGAACAATTTATCAGCGTTTACACAATTTAAAACCGTCTTCTTTTCGTTTGTGTCACACTTCCACTGTTATTATACCTACTTAATCCATATGCTCGATGCGTAGCGATGCACGCGATCAGATTTTTCTTTCTTTGCGTATCGGTTGACTGATATAGTAGATTGAGAAAGCCTTAAACACGACAGCAGGACAGAAAGAGGGAAAAACGGTAAAATGTCACTGTTCCCTAATTACACCGGGTAACTAGCCGGGCCGTAGGAAGAGAGACGCATGGAAACATCGCGGTTTCGCGAAGGCAGTCGATCCCCCAGGATGGAGCCTCGGTACCGCTAGATTTGCGAGCCAATCCGCGGACGCCTTTAAGCCGCGTTCTCCAATCGTTCTCCAGTTATAGCTGACAAGCACATCGCGACCACCACTCGACCCACTCGGTTTATAAAGTCAGGCGGATGCGCTGCCTCGAAGACAGAGCCGTGCCGACAGTCCAGCCAACAGGAGCGTCTTTTTTTTTTTTCTTACATCGAGTAAGCGATCAAGTGTTCAAGTCGCGTGTGCTCGGCCCGGTGTCGAAAGATTTTGGCGGAGAGATCACCATCGATTACGTCGATATCTCCGCCACCCTCGCTCGAAAGGCAGAAGAGACTTTCCGGGCTTGACAAAGTTTAGAAAAATATCGGTTAGATATATAATACCAGTGATTAGAACTATCGAGTGATTAGAGACCGGGGTGAACTTAGGATCTGGGATCGCGATATCAGTGGATAGCCGACTAAGGTACGTGGGATTTTGGTGCTAACACACTAGTGCGAAAAGTGTCGCGTTCGTTCTCACGCAGAAGGCATGGCCGACAGGGTACCTCGACGTGATAAAAAGTGTCAACGGCCAAACGGGTTCGTTGGGTGTGAGATGCTTGCGCGGATAGAAAATCGCTTAACGATTCCACGGATCTCGATCCCATGAGATATCGAGAAGTGATCGTGGAGAGAACGTGCAGAAGGTTCACGGCGAAGGTCCTGCTCGGCGGTGCCTTAGGTGAACGTTCGTTGAGTCGATCGACCTCGAATTGCGCGATGCGGCGTATCGATATATCCCATAGCGGTGAGGATTATATTTACCCAGTGCTCCGAAAAAAAAAGGAGGTGAAAATATGACACGTACAATTCGCGTTCGATGAAATTTACTTTACTTACGATGGGATTACTTTTTGCAAATTACGTAGGAAGCAAATTAATTTTGTAATAACCGGCGAGAATATAAATCTTATCTATGTAAAATATAAGTTCTTCGTCGATCGCCGGCATTTCTCGCGGCCGCCATTCCCACGATGAGAGCTCGGTTCAAAGTCAGGGCCGTAGCTGTTGAGCAACCGCGCGGTAATAGCACGCGGACGTTACAAAAGCGTACAAGCTACGTCTCGAGAGAAGGTCTCGTGTCTTTCAAGGATGAGGTGATTAATCCTCTTATATTCTGCCGAGATGTATCCTATCGCGGGGCTCGTATATCTTAATAATAACGTAATGTAGAAATCTCTTTTAGCATTCGATAACGCGCCCTGTGTTCTTCAATACTTATATCTCGGAGAAGAAAAAAAAATGCCCATTTTTATTAATATCTCACGTAGGCGTTTACAAGATACGGTTGTTCGTTGTGATCACATCGTTTCAAAGGGTTATTGTTGCACCCAACGGATACGTATACAAGTGCGGGTTTTGAAAAAGCGAGACGAGCGTGCGGAGGCTGTAACTGAGGGCGCGAAAACGAAACTCATTTCTCTTAAGCGGCGTATGACGCGTATACACGCCGCTCGATTCTCGGTCTCGTTCACGGCGTTGATTTGCTTCGCGCGTTCATGGATTAACCCTGCACTCGCGTAACGAATGGGAGAGCTCGATGCTGCGAATGGAATAGCCCTTCAAGGTCGAAGAGATTATTCTTAGTTGAACGCGAGAAAATAGACGTCTATAACAGAGACTTTAATGCCGCGATACGGCCATTTCTATACGTTAAGCTTTATCCGTATGATTTATTCAGTATTTTTCAATGATTTTTTTCAACTTTAAAATTTAATGAAGCTGTACAATTATATGAAAATATTTTTATGAAATGCGTGAGGAAGCCCAATGGAAAATAAGCGTCGTTAAAACGAGCAGTCTTTCGAGATAAGCGATCCAATTTGATATATTCGTTTTACGTGTCCCGAATATTCATGCTGGTACCTCTGGCGGCTCAGTCCATCGACCCCCTAACTTGTGAGTCAGAAGGTAGACGTACTTACGTGTCTTTGCGAAATCGGTAATGTTATAACGTTATAATTTTTTTAAGTAGAGTACGAAGTTGAAAAGAACACCAAGACACTCGAAGCGTCACTTAAAATGAATTTCAAGCTTGTGATTGAGAAAATGAAAAATATAAATAAATTATTCTTGTTCAAATATTATGACTGAATATTGTAGCAGTAAATTAAAATTTGATTCTACTCATTTACTGAGCAATTGCGCCGCGAGAATTCTATTGCCAGCTGTAGCTTTTAGCGACGAAGCAGTTCTTGATTTGGAGAGTTCAACGCCAGGGAAGCGTAACGTATTCCGATACTCTTTGCATTATAGAGAGATTCTTCTACGAAATTCATGAATCATTTGTTTCTGGAAGTAGTACTCTTTATAGTGTTGTCTATGTATATGTTTTTTTTATTATTTCGCAGATACGAGTGTTTATTTTAATTTCATGTTTTCATTTAATATTGTTAAAGGAAAGAATATTACGAGGAAGAATATTACTATAAAAGCGACATAATACACAGGTTTAACATTTACTACTTTCAAAGTAGGTGTAATGTTCGCCCAAGAATCACACGTTACACGTGGGATGGGAATTCAATGAATTATGTAGACATTTATGTTACACGTGTGGAAGCGACGTGACGAGTGTCGAAATTTTGCTGCTTAGCAACTCGATTGAGCACACTCCTGAACTGAGTGAAAAAAAAAAGGAACTTGTAAGATTTCCTGTTTTGCTTAAGCTTTAATTAATATTAGTAATTAATAGAAATATCTTGCTAATAGTAAAATTAATAAGATTGTGTTCATTTTTGTTTCTTTATAATTCTTGTTAATTTATTGTATATTAATAGGTTTATGATATTATAGATAATCTATTCAGCAGAAACAATTTTATTAGGACAATCTGAAATTAAAATTATATATTATACAATAGAACTATATGTGAACTTAAGCTCTATGTATATAATTATAAACTTACTCTCATTATATATGTAGCTGCAACTACTTATGAAATGTACTTTAATTACTTACGAAATGCGTTTTAATTATCTACACGTAGTATATTCCAGCTTGCACGATCTTGATTAAATCCCGGAGGAGTTGAAAATTGCTAGACACATTTTCCAACGAGTCTCGTTACGCGTAGCAATTCTGACCACGTACCACATTCACTTCTCACGATTTGCTGCTAGGTTATCGTCAAATGCAAGTTACTGATTTCAAAACTGCTGATAATTACTGTTCTACTAATGAGCATCTTTTTATAATGCACGTTTTTCTTATATAGTTTATATTCTAGTGACTCCAACCATAAAATTCAACGATGCTTAACTGCTCAGAGCGGTATATGTATCACATATGAAATTAAAAATGAGCGATAGTAAAAGATAATTCTCTAGTTTTATTCATTTATTTCTAATTTTGATTTTATATACATAAATTAATATTTGTTCAGATTTTTATCATTAGACTTTTTTTTAACCATTAACGATTTGTTTTTATTATTACAACATTGTATACAAATTTGATCTCACTCGTTCTTTGATATTCTTTGATTAATACTTTGTATTTATACTTTAAAACTGCTCCCTTTTATAATATTATATCCCCATTCATCTTATTGATATATTTACATCTTAGCCACCTTTCCTTGCTTTTTCACTACCGTACATTTATTAATGTACTTTACAATTTACTTTGGTCATTACGTTTGTTACGGTCGTATAATGTCTTTAGAAAATCTCATTTGCGTCCGATCGCCGTATACTCGGTTTTACTGGCCGACTGCCCCGAATGATTCTCTGCAATTCCGTCATGTTATATCGAGCGACCTTCACGTAGTGATGCGCTGCTCGATCATTGGTATCTTGGTTTCTCGGAATTGCCCTACCTTCACGTGAGGCACCTGATATCAAAATTCCATTAGCATACGCGAGACCACGATACAATAGACAATTTAAACGAGGAAAGGGAGGATCCGAACACAAAGTACTTCATCTCCAGGTGTAAAATTACCGCGACGTGACCGGCTTGCTTCTCTTCATCATTGTCATCGACGTCGCTTCGATCACAACGCCAACCAGGATCGGTTTTTATCTTGTCGCGATGAGATTCGTGACGTTACACGAAGTAAGAGAGACAAGAATCTTTAATCCGTGCGTTTTTTTTACTCTTCCATGACACTTGCAAATAGGATTTTTAACATTTTACTACGAGTCGATGCTGACGTATCATCTAACGAAGTCGTATCTTTATGAGATGATATCTGTAAAAAAAGGAAACATCATTCTTGTAATTAAAACTGAAAGAGATGTCATTATGTCGGCAATAAAACAGATTAAATGAAAGGGAATCGGATGCATGTCGTGCATGTGAATTCTCCGAGACATTTATTGCGAATTCATTTCACAAAGCAGTCTTTGAATAGGTATGAAATAGCGCATTACAGAAAGGAATAATATTCGAACGAAGTACACGGAAATGCACACAAATGCGACGATAATAATGTAAAAATCTCTGCTCTCGGAGGTCATTACGGCGTATTCGCGGCTGCCAACGTCGTACGAGATTAATTGCGAGATTTTGCTTAGCCACTTAAAGCAAATCTATTCGCAAATCGTTTACCTCTTCAGGAAGGATTTTGCGCCGGGCTGCTGAAACAGCTCGCGATATCTAAGGGGTGTAAAAACGGTTTCTCGCGCGGCACGCATTCAAGTCCTCCCAGTGTGTTTTTCGTTCTTCTTCCCTACCTTCGTTTTCCTTTTCCCCTGACGTCGTTGTAAGCGCGACCTGCCCCACTATCTCGCGTTCGAGCGACGGAGGATCTCGCAGGCGCCGCCTGGCCGTTGACCCCGAGCTGCCAACGGCCCTGACCAAGACTCCGTTTAGCTCGCACGCTCCTTCCATCTCCATCCACTATTCTCGTACAAACAGACCGATACGTGCGAACCGAATGCGTCGTGTGTGGATTCGCATGGTCTTCTCTTTCGATCTTTCGAGCTGGAAAGAAGTCGAAGCCGCGTTTTACCCGTACCTTACGTATGTAGCGTGATCGTGGCGATTCGAACTCTTGCTCAAAAAGACTACTCGACGGAAGGAAATCACCACGTTTACTTCTTGTTGCATCTTGTTATACCATGAAGAAGAGATATCCTGTCTTATTAAAGAAATTACGAGTACATGTCTCTCTCTTTATTCGCGGCAGAATTTGAGATTCCTGGGTACTACCTCGTGTGTATTCGTATTTTTAATTCCGCTAACAAAGACGAGGGGATCACTTTCTTACACGTGCTCTTACGGTAGGTACCTCCTATCATCATTGGTTATTCTTACGTGCTTGAAGCAAACAGAGAAATGGGACCAATAACCGTAAAAAGAAGCGCCTGGAAGACCACGGGGTGCTCGAACAGGTTGTATCTCCCAGGTTGACTACCCGTTTCTATGCAGGTGCTCGTCCATCTGGCTCTGCAGGAAGTATCACGTAGACTGAACGTAGCTTGAAATTAACTCTCCGCAATAGCTAAACGTATCGCGAATACTAACATATCGGGGAATGATCGTCATACGTTTCCGGATGAATAATTCCAGAAGTATATGAATTGATAACTGAATTCAACTCACTGCGATAATCTCGTACGCATTACTGACACGTACAGGAGACCTCGATTTTCCGCGTGATCAGAGCATTATTAGAATTGCAGATTATAACTTTACCGCGGTCTACATCAGCATAAATGAAAATGGACGGATGTACCATTTATACAATTTCTTTCTGTCTACACTTTTTTTATCTTACGTAAAACTTGAATCTTAGAGACAATCGCTAATCTTAACACCGTTAATCTTAATCGGCTTAAACTGCACGTTCGTATTCTCCTACGTCGGAGGCAAATATGTCACCTGTCCGGAATGATGCATGGCGAGGAGGTCCAGGCTGGCTTTTTCTAAAGAATGGCATAACGGTTACGCTCGCAAATGAATTCGCAAGTGAATTCTTATTCGCTCACAATAACGCGACGCGACGTATAATCCCGGATCGTGAACCAACATGCGCGCTCCATTCGAGACCCATCCATTCCCGGGTGTTGGGTCAAGGCTCCTGTACGCGCGAACGCGTGTAAGGCGATGTGTAAAGGGCAAACGAACCTGAGTGGAGAACAGTTCAATGGCGACAGTTCGACGCTCGTTATATTAAAGCGCTTAGCACGTTTCAGAGTCACTTCCTGGCGATCCCTCGACGCAACGCATTGCGCGTTTACGTGTATCTCGCAGAGTGTGGAGTTAATTCGAACCGTAATAATTTCGTCTTATCTCTGGCGTTCGCTTCGCCGATTGCGCTTTTCGCTTAAATACTAATTGCTCTCGCGTAACTAAAAATAACATGGCGGTTGCTTCGCGTGCTACGCATAGATATAATTCGACGTTGGTGTCGGTTAAAAACGGAAGCGGATACGCACGAGAATCTTGAAACCCACGTCTCTCCACGCAAGTTGTCATCAGGATATATTCGCGAGAAAACTCAAACGTTTCCCCAAACGCGGATATTATACCAATTTATCCAATTAAATTCGTCCGGCTATTTCTTTCGTTATTCTCATATTATTATCATCCCTGAAACGAATTACTTTACGCGTAACTCTTAAAACTCCTTCGTGTCCATTGTCCATATCTCCGGTGTTACGGTGCTCTATCGCTCCACCAGTCTGTAAAATGCTTATCTCACACAAGTAAACATAAATCTCACCGATGCACACGCTTATACAGACGTACACGTACACACGTACATACATACGTACATACGTGCGCGCGCGAAAGATGCATATGGCAGCTGCCGGTGGAAACGTCATTTGGTCGACTCGCTAAAGGAACTAATCGCCGCTGCGCTTCGTAGCGGATAATAAACCGTGCTAGTGGGTCATCAATATCGAACCCTCGCTCGCTCGGGGCTATTAGGCGGACACGTAATAATCAGTGGGCTCCGCGTTCGTTCGCGTACGCCGCACCGCGCCGGATCAGGTCGTGCAATCTGGAAAGCCGGCAACGTGCCCGGCTACACGGCTACTCGGCACAAGGCATGAGGAGGCATGAGGCGCCGATCGAAACGTGCGCTTTGCAAATTGATCGATTAACGGTACGGAGGTACGAGACACAGCGTGAAAGGGGGTCATCGACAGCCGCAGTAGAGATATATTATCGGGACGCGTGAAACACGGAATGAACCATGTGACAGCGCGAAAGGAATTTGTCGTTCCAAATAGTTCGTTCAGGTCGATTGATTTTTCAGGGCTGCAAATAAAGGAGAAACGTACCGGTGAAACAGATTGACGCTCACATTTTTCAAAAGTATAGACGGTGTTGACGGACAGGAAATAAATGGAGGACGTTTAGCGCGATATCCGGGAATTGTAAATAGTATAAATTATCAGCCTTGGCTCATTGCGAATCCTGGTATCTGAAATGATTCACGATAAGTCTACGTTTAAGGCTTATCGAAGATAATCAATTCCGGCAACTGTAAACATGCGCTAATCACATTATATGAACTATAAGCTAGGGTGATAAGGATACTCGATACGCGATCGATTTGATAGCATCGGAAATGTGGAATGAATCCGCTTGCTGGTGATATTATATACCACGCGAGGCGTTATTTGTATATTATATGTCTTTGACCTGGTTAGATGGCAATTTCTCGAGGAGTTTCTAGCCGAATGATTGCACACGCACACACATATTCATCCGCCTTGTGCTTAGCGGTCCTCGAGACCACAGAATTTTTGTTCCATCTCGAATCACGCGAGATGAGTCGTTTGCTCAGTAGAACTGTTCGTTGCTCGTCACCATTGTTACGATTTAGCTCATCCGCCGCGACCCAGGTAGAGGAATTTCGCTGCGTCTTATTGATATCTCGAGATGCCAGACGCGCGCGACGTACTCGGCATTTTCTTCTCTCGCGATCTCGGCGAGAATAATGAATGCGGAAGATGAGAACAGCTGGGCGTTGTGAATAGCTTAATGGCCGAGACTCGGTCGGTGACAAAGATGATTCACGTTCGAACGCTGAAATCATGGTCTTGGATCGCAACCGCAAATATCGGTTCAGCCTCTTGATCGTCGCTCTGATCGCTGATATTCAAGCAATTTTGCAAAGTCGCAATCATCTGGATAATCGGTGTTCCAAAAGAATTCGCAAGTGGAACTGTAATACTTATTTTGCATACGTATCTTGAATATATTTCTCCGAGACTGAGCCATAGTCATTTGAGCTTATCGAATCTATACGGTAAGGACGGTTTTGCTGAAGTATCTAAAAATTTAGCTAGAAACAGACTTGAAAATAATTCTATCGAAATTCAATAGAAAAAAACGATACAAATAATTTAAATTAAGTAAATAATATGGAAGGAGAATATGCTTGGATGTCATGTGCTAATGACTTTTTGATAAACAATCAAGATTAAATATAAACAAAATTAAAACAAAACGTGTCGACCCTTAAACCAGGTCGTTCTTAATTTTCTTAGAATAATTTTAATTAATACTGATAAAGAACACAAAAAAATGTGTGTTTCTAATAAAAGAAAAAAAGTTTGAAATATTATTTATACCCGCGTATGTTAACATTCAATAGAGAAAACGGTTTAAATAATTTTAATTAAATAAATAATATGAAAGAAGCTACGAATTACGTTATTGGATGTTATGTGCTAATGAAATGTGTATTCCGGTTGTGAATGCGATATATTTCGAACTTTTTTGTCTTTCATTAAAACACATTTTTTTGTGTCTCTTTATCAGTATTAATTTAAATTATTCTAACATTGAGAATGACCCAATTTAAGAGTCGACACATTTGTTTTAATTTTTTTGTGTTTAATCTTGATTGTTCATGAGAAAGTCATTATTCCATAACATCCAGCGTGGTTCGTAGCCTCTTTCATTATTTTATTATTTATTTAATTTAAATTATTCGAACAAAAAAATTTTCTCTATTGAATTTTAATATACACGGGCATAAATAATGTGATATATTCCGAATTTTTTTTCTTTCATTAGAACACATTTTTTTGTGTCGATATTAATTTAAATTATTATTTATTTTATTCTAACATTGAGAATGACCCGGTTTAGGAGTTGACACGTTCGTTTTAATTTTGTTTGTATTTAATCTTGATTGTTTACAAAAAAAAAGTCATTAACATCCAGCGTGGTTTGTAGCTCCTTTCATATTATTTATTTAAATTTTTTGAATCATAAAATAATCACCAAAATAATTATATAGAACACCTTAAACGCTGATGATTTCTTGCATGCGATATCTCTTATCTGTATAAAAAATAAATCTTTCAACATGCCTACGAACTCCGATTAGAAAATTGCTTCGGCCTCATCGAGCATTCGCGTCACGTCTATAATTATTGAAATAATGACTCATCGTCGTTTTATTTCTTAACTTCAATTACAAGTAATTTAATTTAAAACATCGATTTGCATGAGGCCTCTTGCGAGATGAACGCTTTGCACTACTTGATATCTGCGCTGATCATCGTAGCGGTATTAATAGATTATTCGTATGATCGTTTAAGTTAGATAATAGAGAATAACGGAAGAAACATCTTAGATAACAGCGTAATTCACGCCGATGGTCAAATTGCGGCGCGAGCTAAACGATAATTCGGACTTTCTCTTTGAGTTTCGAGACGAACTTGAGCAGCCAAAAGAATGTAAAAGCCTCGTCTTCTTGAGCGGACGCCTCCATTCATTTTCGACACGTTGTACGAGTTAACGGCTTTAGGATTCGTGTTAAGTAGCGTTATCGAGTTGGGGGGAGATGCCATGCGAGATAATACGTTGTACTGTGAAGGATCCGAGTGAGAAATATCCCTTTACCAGAATTTGTGGCACAGCCAACGGTATCCTCGTCTCTACCGAGATGAACAGAGAGAATATTCCCGAATCCATTCGGGGGGCGGTCTTTTGCGAGACTCGATTCTTTACGCTTCTCTATCTCGCAACTTACGACCTGTACGCGTGTACCGCCCGTTGTATCCAGACATCGCGCGGTTCGGCATGTATAAGCGTATGCAAACGTGTCACGTGGGTGTTTTATGTGCAATGCTTTGCAGGTTGTAACTCGCGAAACGGTCGTTACATCTTAGCATCGAACCATATGGTAGTAGTGGATATATGGATTATCAAGATTTTGTATTTTATGGAAGCCTCTCTATTGTGTAGTTGCGCAAATCATTTAACCCAATTAATAACGAGCATTCAATCTCAAATTACACGTGGTCTCTTATAATAGAAATTCTGTTATTTGACCCGGCGTGCTTCTATTATTCCGAATCGACGAATGGAGCTTTACTGTACTTCTCGTGATGAGCAGTCGTACGGGTGTATATTCAGATCATCGGTCGTTCGTGTGCGGTCACGATGCGCGTAACGAAGGCGGACGGACAAAGGAACGAGAACGGTCGATGGAAAGCAAACAGCGGCACACGACTTCGCCGCGACGTGGTGCATGGAGATGTCTGCCGGGCCCCCGAGTTTGTGGATCGCGCAACGGTAACCGCTCGTCTTCGATTCTCGCTGTTGCATTCGAAGACCGTTACACTCTCCAGTCAGTCGTCACCGTTGGAGGTCCATCGCTCGCCGATTCGCGCTTTACTTTCCAGACGAATCGACGGTGCTACTTTGGCTACGTCGTTTCAGTTCGGTTCTCTTTACCGGAAGTTGTACTTCACTCGAACTAAGATAGATATCAAATGTAGACACTAGATAATGAGTATATTATAAACAGCCATTATCGCCATCTTTAACGGGACGACGTCGACGTTTAATAAGCGTCCGAGACGCGTTTCAGCTCCGATTAAAATAAAATACATAAGCGTTTATTACACAATGATAACTGTTAATTCCGTATTTATTCTTAATAGATAATAATAATTGCGTATCAGTTGAATTAAAACTCGGAGATATTAAATCTCCACGTATACCGTTATAGTCACAATCGTAATCTTTGTTCATTTCCGCGAAAGTCAGTGTAATTTCGCATCTCTCAGGCATATTGTAATGGACAGCTGACAAATAAGAATCCGCATAGATTCGTGATAGTATTGGTTGCATTCAGTCAACTTTCAATTAAATTGCTCATCCCGTCGATTAAAAATTTAAGAATTGTGCACGCAAACACGTCGAACGTTGGCACGTAGAAACGAACATTCGCGAGTAATTTAGTCAAATTAACACGTTTTTTTTTTTTTTTAAGCCAGTTTATGTCCGCAAAGTGCTTCCTGGACGGGGTTACCCTGGGGATAAAAACCGCTCGTTTCAATCCACTCCAATTAGCATCATCATCGATACGACGAGCGGGCGCCCATTTTAGTCCCTCATCGAAGAAGCAAAAACCGCTAGTCACGATTTTAATGGTAACGTCCGCGAGTCTCGTTATTCCAGCTGTCGGAGGGACAGGATGAGGGACCATCTCTGGTAATCCCGCGCACGTGAGCTGGTAGTCCTTATTCCGAATGATATCATCACAGCTGGACGCCAATTTAGTGCGACGCGCGAGATTGCGAGATGTCGAAACCCGTGACGAATGAGAAAGAGAGAGAGAGAGAGAGAGAGAGAGAGAAAGAGATAGCTATAAACCGGATGACATCGAATTTCCGTGAAACCTATAAACAATCTGCAAAATGCATTGAATAGAACGTAAGATCGCCGTAATTTGCCTTGCCGATATTCGCACATGGATTTTATCGCCTCTAAATCGAGCGAGGGTCCGGTTAATGGCAGATTGCGGCGCATCATAACGAGCATGAGAATGGCTCGTCGAGCTTTTATCGCTTCCTCGATCCGGCGTGAATCCTCGAAACGGCAGTTTCGGTGACTGTTTGTGATTATCGTTCGTGAGATACGTTTTGCACGGCCGTGATACTTCCTGTTTCACATGACGATCTCACCAACTGCCTTCAGTACACACCAACGACCTTGTTCTTCATACCCCTTTAGGAGGCTCGTTACGCACCGCTACGTGTTGCATTAGATTTCCCGGTGAAACGGAACTCTGCAAAATCCGCAAAAGAATGTTAATTGGAGAAAGACATTATTATTATTATCGCTTGATGTTGAATTGATGAGCGAATTTATCTAAATGCGCAATATATATATTTAGCGTAACAGTTATCGGTAATAAATAAATTGTGCAGATAGTTCTCGTAGATAATACATGAAATGTGGATCGATTTATTATTCTTAATCTCGTAATCATCATCTCGGTCAGTTACGGTTTCAGAAGGATATTACGATTGAAAAGAATGATGTCTACGACATACACTACTTATCTACTGTCTACTTATTTATGTACTCGGTCAAGTTAAATCACAGATATTTACATAGTGCACGAACGGCATCATTAAGCAATTAATTCAAATCGCGGGTTGTCCAGTGAACGGGAAGATTAAAGGAGGATATCATTAAGCGAAGCGGTTGAACGATGACGCTCGAATTTATTGATACGACCGGTTGATACGACGTTCAACGGTCACGATGTTGGGAAACACCCTGTCGTTTCACAGCATCGAGTAGACGACCAGGTTTAGCCAAGTCCGCTTTAACGG